AGCCGACTGGCTCACTGTTATAGCAGATTCTGGGATAGTCGGCAGGTCGTTGTCCCCGACGTTCTCGATCTGGTTCGCATAGCGGGCCCAGCTTCTTTCCGCCGGTTCAGTGCTCCTCTTTTCGCTCTCTCAGTGCCGACACTCTCGTTCATTCGCCGGATCTCGCTTGGAGCGGGGACCGGGATGCGCTTAGGGTTTATCCGATTCGATGTGAGTGTTGTCCGTCGTGTTGTCGTTCCCTGTGTGACTTGTTGCTGCGGCGCATGGGTTGAGGTGTTGAGTCCCTGATTAGCGCCTTGGGGCTGGGAGGTGGTGGCGTTGCCCTTCGTAGCCTCCTTTTGCCGGAAGTGAAGCGGTACTCGGTGGTATAAAGGGCTATTAGCCAGCGCTAGTCTCGCCTCTTCCTTCGCCGCCGCTTTCACTTCGCAGGCGTCACTTGTTGGACGATGGCCTGCGCCACAATTAGCGCATTTAATCTCAGCGTCACCTTGCTTTGGGCACTCCCAGGTCGGGTGTCCCTTCGCGCAGTGGCCGCATTGGTACTCGTTCAAACACTGCGAGTGGACGTGTCCTGGCTTTTAACACTTTAGGCATAATTTCGAACGACCCTCCCGGCAAAAGCGAGTTGTCTGGTGCACTTGGTGCTGCCAGAGCGTGCCTTGTGTGATTGCTTGGTTCGCTACCACCGGATCGGTAAATTCAATCACAATCGATCCATCACGACGCTTACCGGGCTTAATTAGCCAGCCGAGGTGTAGTATTTCGACATTATCCCGGGAACCACCCCAGGAATGGCTGTTCTGCCAGATCAGCTCCTTCGCTAGGCCCCCCATTGACTCCGGCGTCAGCGGCATCGTCTTCGTGTCAATACCGCGCGCGACTACTCCCCACGTCGGCTTTCGTACGTGTGCCGCCGGGCCGAAAGCCTTCAGCCATTCAACATGCGTACGTAGCAGCTCCGCACCAGAAGCGCTGTTAACCGTCATCTTTACATCACCGGAGGGGAGAACATTCGCCGCTACAAAGTAACAACCGCCGCCAAGCGGAGCACTCGCCTTTCTCCGCGCGACCGTTTCGCGTGTCCTGTCGGCTTGCTCGACGATCTCCCTTGGTGTACGACGACGGAGGGTCTCGCGGGTATCGCTATTGTCACGGTGCGAACCGTGATGCTTAAAAAGAGGAAGATCACGGCACGTGATCTCCGACCTGTTTATCTTGAACTTCAGTTCTAGATCCTGTTGTAGCTCTTCGAGCTACGTCTTGTATAATAGCCTGCCCCTGCCTGTACCTGTCAATGGGAATCTGATCTGTTATGACCTGTTCCTACCAGTCATCTCCTATCATACCGTCCTGCCAGCCCGCACCCTGACAACGAGATGCGTCGTATCTAGCGTGGCGTGCCCCCATAATAGCTTGTGTAGAATCGAATTCTCGTTGTAGCTGAACAGCTAATGTTGCCTGGGCCTTAGCCCCTTTCACAAGCTTTGCTAGCCCCTCCTTGAAGCGCTGAGTGGTAGGGTTATCTTTATTAAGCCGTAGGCTTATCCTTCTCACTTTTTCGGCGGTTTTTGGAGTGCTAAACTCGATGTTTTGTGAGGTAGTTGATGGTGTAGTTGACCGGGGTAGATTTTCATTAAATAGGTCGTACGACTCCAATTTATCGGTAACAAGCTTAGAATTAATAGGCCAAAGGCTAGTTAATTTAAAACTAAGCTTAATTGTATGTGGCCGGAAGGGTTTGCGCCTAATTTCGCCAATTGAGTGTAGGAATTCATCCTTTGAAAATTTGCGGCATCTAGTCATTGTAGCCGCTTCAACTGCCTCACCATACCAGTGCTTCTACACGCTAAACACGCCGACGTTAAGAGGTTGTAGTATATGGCTTATACACGAGAGTAAGAAAAATTGTAGATATCTTGTTGGTAAATCCCATGCTCAGTGATAACCCGCTCGTAGTCTTTAAACCACCTCTCAACCACTGATTTATCAAGTGTAGCACTTCTTTCAATATCAAGAGCTCGCCGGCGTCGAAAATCGTACTCAGGATAACGTTTAAGAAAATGTTTTAGCTAATGATCGCTAGTTTTAGGGGGTTTTTCGCGGCTATCAGGGTGGGTTTGAAAGTGATCTTCTTCGAGAATTGAATCGGCTACCATAGTAATTTAACGGCGGTTTATTGATACTCCGACCGCGTCAAAGTAATCAATATAATTATATAAAGCCCCCTCCTGTATAGGAGTAAGCTTCCGGCCATTGAATTATCGTTGAAAAAGCGATTTTCCACCTTTCCATAGTCGTCGTAGCCGGCTCTCGGAAACTGCGAATTCTCGCGCAGTTTTTGCAATATTAGGTTTAGATTGATTAGAGAGAGAGTCTATTGCTTTTTCAATCTCAATCTCTATCTCTTTATTGGTTTTAGGCACGGTGGGCGGTGTGGTAGAGGATAAAAATCAAAATGACAAAATTGAAAAAAAAACCGACGTTTGGGTGATCCCCCCACGAATGGTGGCGGACCCTCGCTTGCGGGGGTCCGTATTTTTTGAAAAAAAATTTCAGGGGCCGGTTACTAAGTACCACTCTCATTTCCAACAAGGGACAAACTGTTGGCACAGCAGTCTAAACCCCTTTAAGATTTTAGTCCTTGACAGTCCATTTTCAATACCAGTGTTTTTTACTATGGCGACACCATACAAAATTGCACTGGTATTGAAAATGGACTGCCAAGGACTAAAATCTTAAAGGGGTTTAGACTGCTGTGCCAGTAGTAAAACTGCTGTGCCAATAGTATGTCCCTTTGCTTAATTCGTCCATTAATCTTGAAAGTTACCCAGCAAATCAAGTGCCTCTTCTGCAGTAAAGCGACTAGACGGTAAAAATCGCATCAATCCTTGGATCACATGAAGTAGAGGTTTGAGTATTGGATTGGGTACCAAACCAGCAAACTTCCGTTCAAGCTTCGAGGTTCCGTAATCTTCGAGCAAACTTAGCAACAGTTCTGTATGTGGATCAATTTAATTACCTTCTTCTAGCTCCAGATTATGGCTAGAACTCATCAGCATTGATTCCCACTTAGACTCCCATTCAGCTGGCAACCTCTCCACAAAGCCAATCATCTGGTAAATTAAAACCTCGTCCTCGCCAAGATACCAGAATGGCCAGGTCGTGAATAAGAAGGAATAAATCTACAACTCATATCGCCGTAAGTATATTTCCTTCAAAGAAATGATATGTTGACGTACCATGCAACCTGTGCGCCATAAGTCGACGCGATAATCGAAGCAGTCGGTGAAAATCGTCTCTGGTACCCTCAATGAAGCCGGCTGGGCCAGCTTCTGAGGTTCCTGCCCTTGAAAAAAACTCTCTCCAAAATCGAGGACCCGAATATCTTCATCGTCCTCGTCTATCCACTCAGTCCATTCTGCTGCCTTGATCAGTTGGGCCGGCAATTCATTGCCTAGAGGCGTGCCATCAACCCGTTTCAGTGGCTCAATTTCCGGGAATCCAAGAACATCAAAAAGCTGCTCCTCAGTCCGTTTGGACAAATGAGTGCAACTAAATGCAATGTTCCGACCACTGATGTCTAATAAGATGTGAGTAAAAAGGCCAACCACAGAAAACAACTGCAGAGGGGGAAGCTCCCTCACCTCCATGGCACATGCCGGCACTGTGAATGAATTTGATAGCTTTCAAGAGCTGCGTAGAAATTCGGAGCACGGTTTCCGGGAGGAGTTTTTCTTGAGCCTCATGGTAGTCCGAGAGGACCTTGTCAACCGAAGGACCAAGTAATTCAAAAACAAGACATTGGTGGACCCCGTTGGGGCCTTTGTGTGTGAAGGCATCAAGGAGCTGAATAATATAGTTTGAAGAAAGCCCTCTCCGAGATTGCCTCTCTAGAATTTTCAAATTTTGCAGCTCTCGCGATATCGACGAATTTGCGGTCAAGATCTTCAAGGAGACCCATTGATTTCGGCTGGCGTGAGATTAGCTAGAAATGAACAAAGTTGGTGCGGGACAAACTGACTCTCTGTCTTTCGCAAGCCATACTGTGGAAAAGCCACCCCATCCTAACTTGTGATGTATCTTGTAACGATCATTTTCAAATGTATCTCCGAGGTTGACTGGATGGTATCCTCCATGTTGATATTTTGACAATGACTCCTGTGTATAAAGAAGGTTGCTTTGGCAGTACAGAGATGGATCCATCTTAGAACGCAAAGCGGACGAGAGCAGAGAGGCGTTTTGTCAGGGTGCGGGCTGGCAGGACGGTATGATAGGAGATGACTGGTAGGAACAGGTCATAACAGATCAGATTCCAATTGACAGGTACAGGCAGGAGCAGGCTATTATACAAGACGTAGCTCGAAGAGCTACAACAGGATCTAGAACCGAAGTTCAGATAAACAGGTCGGAGATCACGTGCCGTGATCTTCCTCTAACTAAGCATCACGGTTCGCACCGTGACAATTAGATAAATATAGGATATCGGTGTAGCTTTAGTATATTATCCTAGAGGCAATAATATTATTAAAGGGGGATATTAAAACTAATGCTATCTAGGAAAGGCGGCTAAGGAAGTAGTAGTAGAGGCTACTACGGATGATTAGACTGCGGCACGATCCGCAATATCCGCGGATATCCGCAATCCATATCCGCAAAGTGCGGATTTGGATATGGACCTCATATCCATTGGATATCAAACAATACAAACATGCCTAGACTCGTGACCTCAAGGGGTATGCATTATTATTATACATTCCTATGTATTTTTCGTGTAATACTTGGTACTCGAGGTTGTTGAATATCACCAGGTAAGTATAATTTCTGACCGAGGTCAG